AACCAAACGTTTCACAGCCACTTTGACCGGCGGCGTGAGGAATGGGAGGCTGCGGAATGAAAGCAGCACTGACAGGAAAAGAAAGATGCCCTCTTGAGTATAATGTCTCTCTCTCTCCCTCCCTGCCTCCCCGACCAACCCCTTGAAAAGAGAATTACAGAAATACAGTAGAGAAGCCTGGATGTTGGCCTGCGTACCTTCCAACGGGCTGTTTAGCATTTGAAGAAAAGGCCATTCTCACTCAGCTCAGATTGGTCTTAGATATGCCAGTAAGCAGTATTTTTCTTTAAATTTATTCCAGAAATGGGAATTTATTGAGTCAGTTTTTATGGTAAACTGTGGTGAAGAGTCTATTTTTTTTTTATACATTTTAAAACTCATAAATTGTATTATTGATTGATTGACTGAATGGTCAAATTGATTAGTCCCAAGTTCCTCTGCAGAACAGCAGGGACTACAGCCTTCGGACTGAGCCCATGGCCCTGACATCAGGCCTGATGAAACCCTGTGTAATTAAACATGGGTCTAGCTGCTTGGAGACCCACTCGGCCAACTGACACCCATGGGCTACAAACTGGCCTTTATTGTCTTTTATAGCAGGCCCTGATTTTATTAAGCTTTCATTTATCCTCTCAAATGGGATACATCCAGAGTTGCTAATCTGTTATTTGCGGTCCGCTCTTACGGGGGTGACTAATGATGAATGAGGTCATCAAGGCATTCTGGCCAAAATGTGAAAAATACCCAGTGAAAGTTTTCCGGGCAGAGTGCTGATGGTTAAATATTAACAAATAGACTGTCTGATGTTAAACAGGGGTGGGTCTTACTGTTGTTTGTTTTGCCAAGGATTCATCTGGGTCTCTATCTTTATGTTTTCAAGGATCTCTGTATTTATTTCTTACAGTCTGAGTGATATGAGAGTCTCAGTTTAGTGTTTTGGCTCATTACTCGATCCGGCTGTCAACAGTCGCTGGGTAGGTGGCAGATATCTCTGTGTCTCCCGATACTCCAGTATCTTCTGAGGACACACTGTAAACATGTTTAACATTTTGGCCGCTTTTGACAAGCTGCCGTGCCGTGAAAACAGTCCCCCGAGAACGGAAAGTGCAGGGCCTACACACAAAGCGTGCGAGGATGGAAAGGCCCGCTTTCTGTGATTAGTGCGAGACACCTACACACGTGCGTGCGAGAACTTCATGTCTGCTAATGTCGCATGAAACCTGGGTTAAATAAAGGCTGGTAACTTGAAATAAGTAAGGACTTTATTTTCATAATGGGATACATAGAGGGGCTAACATGCAATTGTTGGTTATGGTATAAACTCTAACCACTGCTTGAACTCTCACTGCTGGAGCCAGTTACCTAAATATAGTACGGAGCCATGCAAAAAAATACACAAGATGAGAAAAATATCTAAATAAATAAATAATCAGTGGCATGAGTAACTCAAAATGAAATGTAGTAACTAATCTGCAGAAATTGGCAATACTCCTAAAATAAATAGGTAAAATGTCTTACGCATGTAATTCCATATGTAAATAAATTAAAATATGAATGTTGTCTAGACTGAAGCTAATCGAAACTGTCCATAATATATGCTCAAGTTGTGTTTTGATAAATTCTTATGTAAGTGAACTTATCAAAAGCTTTATACCGTGAACTGGGGGGGAATGAAACTTTATTTGCCCAGGCATCTGTCAAAGCAGTATTTGTAATGGAAGTGTCCATAAAATGACCAAGACCGTCACACATCCATAAATCTGTACACATTTTAATAAAGTGGTTTGCAAGTGAGGATATCAGCTTTCCAGGCAAGCACCCTGAGCCTGTAAGTGATTATTCTGCCCAGGACTCTGAGGGAGAAGCTCCGCTGTAAACTCCACTGATTGGAGTGCATGCCAAGCCTACACCAGGACTACTTCCTGATGCGATTCCATCAGCCTATTGGCACTCTATCACCGGCCAATCAGCTTAAAGACCTTCTTATAAAAATCCTTCTCAGATGGCTCTACTCAGTGCTGTCATGGGGAATGTTATGGTTTTCTCAGCCTGCGAGATGGTTCCTATTCATTTTCTGTGCATGTATATCCTTTAAATCTCCAGCATGCAAATCACGTTTTATGGTGTCTCAGTGGGTAGCAACGCTGCCTCACACCACCAGGGTCGTGGGTTTGAATCTCACCCCCACTGTGTATGTGTTTCCGGGCTTTGCCTATTCCTCCCGTGCTGTTTGAGTTCCCTCTGAGTTCTCGCCTTCCCTTTCTCAGTCCAAAGACACATGACGTGTTGAATTTCTGTCTCTAAATTACCAAAAGTGTACATGAGCACCCTGTAAGGAGTTGACCCTAGATGACCTTCTACTGGATAAGCAATTGGAGGATGGATGGAGTAATAGCATTTTGTATTCTTTTTTTGTTGTTCTTTTAACAGTAGAATAAACTTTACGGGCCCGTAAGGCAGTGGTGTTCACTGTAATAGACTGCATTCATTCTGCTTATTCACCCCTTAAAACCTGCAGGATCTCTTAGTAATATAATTCTGTTCTACTTTCCCAGACCTGTTTCGCATGCAGTTACTTTTCCATTACAATGGAGCACAGGCAGGAAAAAGAGAAGGGTTCCTGATAAGCGGGCCTCTTTAATCACCACTGTGTTGCAGGAGTGACCCTTCTGTGTCTGACTGACATTTACAGCGAAGGAATTAACTCTGGAGAATGGACAGGCACCCCAGACGTGCGATCTGGCTGTCCTCAGGGCCAGCGGGTGACACATTGTCCTGATTTAATAATGTAGAAAAGGAGATGGGATTTGCTGCCCCGACCCTGACCCCCCCTTCTCCCCACCATTGATTATTTACTGAGGAATTGGTGTCAATTAAAACACGAAAGGGTGATTTAATTGTATGGTATGACCTTGTGCGACATGTGTGGCAAATAATCTGTGAGAAGTAGAGAGGATGAAGCCAGAAGCTGCCAGTGCTTTCTGATTGGTGGAACACAGACATGTGGTTGGACTTGCATGTCTGATAAGCCCTGAAATATTTTATGTTTTTTATAATGAATTTTAGAACTGTCATGTTCTACTTGATACATGGTTATTCTAATTATATTTTGTTAATGTTTTAATGTAGGTTTCAGGGTTTTAAAAGAATATATCAGGTCTACGTTGCGTTATGGATTCTGCAGAATATCCCATCCATTTTCTAACTTTGTATCTTGGTCAAAGTCACTGGCGTTGGGTGGGGAGGGGGGTTGGCAAGACAGGGTAAAAGACTGGGGCACAACTTGAATGGGACAGCAGTCCATTGCAGGGCACATAGACGCAGTCATGCACTATGGGAAACGACTTTGACTAACTGCATGTTTTTAGACTGCAGGAGGAAATCTGCATGACACAGGGGGGACATGCAAACTCCACACACCGAGCAGAGGTGGGATTTGAAACCCTTTACCTTGGAAGTGTGCTACCCCCAACCCTTTCCTCTTACCAGAAAAATCCAACTCATCTGGCTATGCTTAAGCAAATTGTGCGATTTCCACAACCTGCTATTTATTTTGCCATGGAAAAATTGTACCCACAGTGTGTTAGCTAGAGAAATGCGTTTACTATATTCCATAGCGCAGATCATACACATTTGTGACAAATGCATACAATGACAAGCCACTCAGGGAATGTTCTGATTTTACCCCTAGGAGCTGGAGCTGTCCCCCAATGCCATGTTCCACCTGCATGAGCAGTTACTCAAAGTGGCAGGATGGGTGGATGTAGTAAAAGAGGTTCGTCTTAACCAAAGAGGTGTGCAGTCTGCACCATACGTGGCACACGATCAAACTAGTGCAATGAGGCTGGGGAGTAAATCCCTTTTTAATTTGGCATGCAGAGCTGGATGCAGAGCTGGATGCAGAGCTGTCAGGGGCGTCGGGGTGAGCTTTTATCTTCCAGGGCGGCGTCTTCCTCGCAAGGAGACTCCGCTCATTATCTGTGAGAGCGCCCCCAAGTGGTATGCGCGCCCCTTAACCGAAGCAGCAGCGGACCCCCGCCCCGGGCTGTCCACATGCATTTTTTTTTTAGCTGTAATGATGCATGGGTAACATTTACCCAGATTACAGTGTGGTCAGTCAGGTTTGTAGTCACCAACAAGGGGAGACTCCACTCCAGTTGCATTCGTGTCCGCAGGGGCGTCGCCACGGTAATGGGAATGAATCTTATTTATGGTGGCTCCTGTCCCCTAGCGCTTTGCTGGAGACTCATGTGTGTCTGATGACTTTTTTAGCTAAAGCCACTTAGAAATTGGAACTTTTTATGAATAAATACTTGCAGTTAGAGCACCTGGTCTGTTCTGTTCTTTCGTTTGCCTCTTATTTGTTTGATTTTGAAATCAGATTGTTTATTCTGCACATGCGACAGTGCATTAGTAGCCCGTGCCCTTTCAGAAGGACCAGCCTGATTCTGTCTGGAGAGTTAAGGGAAGGCGATACAATTAACGAGAGCCAAATTTAGCGGTTGACGGCAGGGGGGAGGAGCACGTTGCAGCCGGGTTGAAGTGCTGCCTCATTCAACTCGATTTCTGCAGTTGACTGACTGTGTCTTCATGATATCGGTCAGGGCTTCTTGCCAGTCTGTGCCCACCTCAGGTGATGGCCGAGGATGGAGTCTCTCTGAGGCAGTTTGATGAGCGTAATGGCCAGAGGTGGAGATTTCAGGTCCAGAGAGTACAAATCCATACCAAGATCTTGTTTCAACCAACCAGTTGAATTCTCTGTGACTGTGACTCTTTATACTATTAACTCTGGTAATGGTGATGCTGAACCCGCAAATATACAGATTACAGATACAGATCCCAATCGCGGTCATTTCTTTTATTTCAAAGTCATTCAATCCGGACTGATATTTTACTCCGGACTAATAAAATACTAATACTAATAAAAAGCTGCGAGTGTTGAGCAGTGCAGTATATTTTCATTTAATGACCTTCCTGGTTCCTGTAATTTTTTTCTACAGGTGCAACAATCGGACGCAGTGTGCAGTGGTGGCAGGACCGGATGTGTTTCCCGACCCATGTCCCGGAACATACAAGTACCTGGAGGTTCAGTACGAGTGTGTTCCATACAGTACGTATCACGCCGCCGCTCTGATTCACACTTCTCCCAGTAAAAATAAATGTCATGGGGGGGGCAAGTGCGACTTGTTTCAGTGTGAATGATTTTAACAGGTTCAAACTATACCAGAGGTGACCATTTTCTGTCATAATGTGAGGACTGCAGTTAACTTGTAAAATCATCTTGTAAAAACATGAAATACCCAACCAGCCCCCTTTATCGCAAAGTGAGATTTGTTGGTTAGCTAGATAACTAAACTAGATTTAAGGTACCGAAGTTTAAATGGACTTTATCTTTTTCCACTTACATGTAGCCCAAACTACTGTAAATCAGACAAGTAATCTTGCCGACCCAAAAATCCAGCTTTATTCATACAGGCCCCAGGACTATTATTATTATTATTATTATTATTATTATTATTATTATTATTATTGTCCTGTCATGACAGTTTCATGGCATGAAAAACCACTTGGTTCTGTGTAGGTGCACAAATGCTCCATAAACTGAAAAAGTATTTTATTAAATTTTGGAATTTTATTAAACAATCCTATAAGTTATAGACTCAAAGGCCGGAGAGACTTCATGTGTGGCATTTGTTTTAAACCAATCTTACTGGGTCAGTATTTGTCGCCTTGTGTTTCTTGGTGCTCCACAAAGTTTTCATGCTATAAAAGACTCCTGGCTAAATGTTTTAAATTGTCAGTATCCTGCTCTTTAATTATTCAACACTATGTTGTAAAACAGGATATTCTGGCTGAGGTAATTATCATACGTCTCGAAAAGGAAATAATTGGGCTTCAAGTGGCAAGGAAAAAAATATATATGAAAAGTGTACATTTTTTGTAATACCCTAGTATTTGTATATTCTGTCAGGACATTTTAAAAGGTCATTCTGCATCGCTGTGGTGGTATTTTCAGCAGACATTGCCTCTGAAAGTGCCTGTGTATATAATAAGAAAACAATCACAATGTAATTAATAAAACTGTTACTTGCAGCAAAATAACATTCAAGGCAAGAATTCATGGCATCATCGGCCCTGGGAGCACTCTCCCGAAAAGTGACCAGCTTACTTTGGCGTTTGAAGGCCTAAGGTTATTACAGGAAATATCACGTCTGGAAAGTGTCCTGAGACACTCGCAATGAAGCCAGTGGTTTCCAGAACAAAAAAAAATGTCTGGAAATACTGAGGTGAGAAGAGAATCTCAGACATAAAACAGAGGAACAAGTAGGCTGGGAAAAAATGGCTGACACAGGAAGCGCACAATTATTAGCATTTAACGTTTGGCACAGTTTTTTAGCCAGCTTCGCCGCGGAGAGTGAGATTTACCAGCTGAGGGAGCCCTGGCCGTCTTACGGAACCAGACGTCGTACGCTGACTTAACCTCGTTTACTGGAATTGACTGCCCCCTAACCCAGGGAGAGATTCACTCCAGCACAGCTGTGAGCCATGCCGATTTCGCATCACGGGGGCTCATGTCACTTCAGACGCAAGTATGAATGTTTCCATTGACAATTTACCAACAGCTTTGTGGTCAGCAAAAGGGAGCAGGCAAATGTGCAAATGATAAAGATCCAGGAAGGAACTATTTATGTTCTGCAGTGTTAATATAAATAAATATATAGGCAAATACATTGCTGCATGTCCCCGCCCCCCTGCCAGTTGTTGCATATTCCCATGTCATGTTCATTGATAAATTTAGTGTTAATTATAAAGCAGCTACAAGTATTTTGGGTTATTACTAGTGTCACTTTGTATATGGCAGCATGCAAGTCGTGTCAGTGTTTGATCTCATTGTGTATCATATCTACATAAACATAGCTTTCTGTATGAAAGATTAGCCTTTGTCTATGGCGTATGCCAGCTGAAAATTGTGGCTGGTTTATAGTGATACCCAAAGTAGCATCACCCCAGTGCAGCAAATTGAGCATTTTGGTTTGTTAACAATAACAATAACATGAGGACATCACAATAGTCATTACAGAGTCCACAAATCAGCCTAACGGGAGATATTTAGAATGTGGTGGAACGCGGACACATCCATAGGGTGAGCACGGTGCCTGTTATTTTTGGAGTCTAACAGTCTAAAGCAGGAGCGAAACACAAAACCGGCAGCTTTCTTTCAGAAATTATGCTCTGATTACATTCTTGATGTGTAGGAGTAGTCACTAATGCCCAATCCGGGGCTTCACGTGGTGAATATCTCCATTGACTTTGTTATGTATCGCATTTTATATATCCAAGACAAGAGCCTTGGAGCACAATTGCCTGAGAAACATTCAATTATCACGCAGCATTTCTACCAGATGGACAGCATGTCTGGCGTGTAGACCAGAAGATTAAATAATGCAAGTCTGAAACCCCATTTGTGCCTCAGGGAAAGAGAATCAGATATCTTTAAAGCGTTATACTGATATTGAGCCTGTGTGCAACTGGCAATAAGACAAATGGCAGGTATTGGATAAGAAACTCATTTTGTTAGTTTCCAAGTGGTACTTCAGCCTCATTGCGAAAAGTGATCAGGGCAGGTCAGATGAAGACGGGAGCTGTGACCGGGTCCAAAGGCCAATCAAGGAAGTCAACAGTATTTTTCTTATTAATTGTCTCTGCCCGTGATGGGTCGGTGCCCCGTCCTGTGTAATTCCCTGCCTTTCGCCTGTAACTTCTGGGATAGGTTCCAGACCTTCACAATTCTGCATAGGAGAAGCGGGAAATGGATGGATGTTTATCGCACATATGGGCTTCAGAAAGAAATACCACCAAGAGCAAAGGAACAGCCACATTTTCTGAGATTCATAGGTCCCCTCCCCCCCATTTTTTTCCATTTTGAAAAGCAAGCACACTCACTCCAAAAAAAAAAAAACATTCTGCTGTTGACTTCCCAGACCTTCATACCATTCAGAAAGACACCTTCTTGATACTCCAAGTTGGAGTTTTCGGGATTGGAGCAATTTGTACATTTTAAGAAGTGTTAAATTAGTCCTAATTGCTCTGTAGTCACAGCAGCTACACATTTATTTTTCTGATGAGCCTAAAGAAAAGCTTGTGTTTTTAAAAATGGCATGCCGTGTCATTCCTGTGTGGGCTCCTGTAATTGGAGGTAGAGAATTAACAGGTTGTCTTCTTAGTGACCAGGAAATAATCAGATAGTGGAGGCGAAAGAGGATCGCCACGTGCAGTCCTGCAGGGCTGGGGGGAGGTGAATCAGACCTCCATGGACTGGCTGAGTGACTTGAGTAGGTAATAAGATTTGCAGCTATTCACTGAGAGAATCTCTCCAGCTGTCGATCTTTAGCCAAATCCCTCCTACTCTCTCTGTCTCACAGACCTTGGTTTCATTAGGATTCTGTCAGGAACCAGTCCTCCACAAAAAAATTTGACCCTGTCCTTCCCTTCACTGGATGGGATTCTACTGTTGCATGTCGGTTGCTTGTGGACAGTGCCGCCCCGATGAACTTGCAGCACACCCCCTTGTCTTTCAGCTTTGTTTAGGCAGAGAGGTGCTCATCCCAGTAATCTGCATTGTCCTAATGAGTCCTGATGTTTTGGGCAGGGATCGTACCTGAAATGTGGAGATACTGTTCTATAGGGTTATGTATATTAATTCAGATTCATCACATTTTGTTTTGCTCATAGGAACATGCTAAAACATGCTAGATGTATTTTGGTAAACAGCAGTAATTTAGCGAAATTTGAGAGCAGAGACTCTGTGGTGCACATGTGCTTGTTCGTGTCTTTGTGGGTATGAGGCTGTTGTTGTTTTGAGCTGTGTGGTCACTTTATAACGGATGCTGTCAGAGCCTGCTGAGCCCATTACCATAACATCTTATCAGTGGCTTCCCACCCTCCTCTCCCTCAACCCCTGACCTTGACTTTTGTCCAGGCTAGAAGGAGCTACAATAGGCCGTTGTCTCAGCCCGGTCAGCATGGTGGTCCATGGCACACAGTCTCATCTGTTAATTGAGGTCTCACCTAACGGTGTCGAGTTCTACCAGCAACTCAGGCCGTGAAAACAAGCCTTGAGAGAGGCCGCTGACCTCCGCTAGGGACCTCATGAATTTTTCATCATGACCTTATCTGGAAACGGCCCTAAAAAACCCTGCATTCCACTAATTAGATTTTTTGTTGTCTCCGTTGTCTTCGCATGCTGTTACCATGGAAAACATGTTGACCTTGAATTATGTAATTAAGTCAGATACGATATATCGTATCATTCGCCTCAGTGAATTTGGCGTACATCCTGCCGTTTATTTCCTGCCCAGGTGCAGTCTGTACTGTGGGAATTGTCCCTAACTGCCTCTCAATCAGCCCATCAAATATGGCCAATAATATGTGGAATCAGCTTGTTCAACATCTCCTTCCAAAACCAACGATATTAATATGGAGGATGTCGGCCCATTGTTGCTATAATAGGCTGTACTCTTCTGGGAAGGCTTTCTGTTAGATGTTGGAACATTTGCTGCCATTCGGTATTGATGTTGGGTAATCAGCTCCCTTTCTGTGAGCTTATGCTGCTACCACTTCACAACTGAACTCGCTCCTAATCATTTTGACCCTCACAATCACTTCCCTTGCGGCTGACAGGGCAGAAATGTGGTGAACTGACTTGTAGGAAAGACGGCATCATATGATAGTGCCAAGTGGAAAATCACTATTCTCTTCTGTACAACCACGCATTCTGCTGCTGATGCTTGTTACAGGAGATTGTGTGACTTTTCTTTTTTGCTTATGGAAAACCAGAGATTGTGGGGGGGGGAGCACAGACGAGACGATGGACTCTTTTGGACGCGTCTGGGAGAAGATGGAGGGTAACAGGGACATGTTCAGTCAGATGAGAAGATACCAGTTATCCCCCATTAACTACCCCCTGATTCTTCCTCATCAGCAGCTCTCCACCCTTGCTCTGTTTCTATGACACAAGAAAGCGTGGCTAACGGCCTAGCGTGCTGCGGGAAAAAAAAAAACTCATTGTCTCCAGAATGATGTGAGAATATAGATCATTCCGGAATGGAT